AGGTTTCCTGAGGTTTGGTGTTGAGGTCGGATTTACTACACTTCACCCTTGGAAGCGACCATAACGAACAAGAACACCTCAAGCCGCAAACCCCAGAACCCAGAACCCTCATGGCCTACCAGCCCAAGCCAATACGATCCGTAAACTCTACTGGGGCTCTTAATAATTACCTATGCCTTTTTGGGGCTTCCTTATTCTAGTTATAGTAGACTGATCCGTAAACTCCTAAACCGTAAACCCTAAACCCTAAATCCCACAAACCCTGAACCCTAGAAAAGGGGCCCTTTAGAAAAAATAAAATAAACCCTAAGCCCGAAACCCTCAACCCTAAACCCCAAGCCCTATAAGTGCAAACCCTGACTATCCCCTGCATTGGATGCGTAAACTCCTAAACCGTAAACCCTAAACCCTAAATCCCACAAACCCTGAACCCTAAACCCTAAATCCCACAAACCCTGAACCAGGACTTCGGCTTCTTGGACTTAAGCTTGGTCCCACCCCACGAGGTGAACGAGGCTGGACCCGGGCCGAGGGCCCCAAGAAAGTCCAAACCCTAAACATTAGACCCTTAAGGTTTAGGGTTTTGGGTTAGGTCCAAACCCTAAACGTTAAACCCTTAGGGTTAAGTCTAAACCCTAAACGTCAAACCCTTAAGGTTTAGGGTTTGGGGTTAAACCCTCAGCCTTAAACTCTTAAACTCTACACCTGTAACCCTTAAACCCGGTGTGGTTTTGCGCTTGAGGCTTTTGGTTTGCGGTGCTTCGGGCTAGAAGGGTTCCAGGTTATGATTAGTTCCATAGGTTTTTGGAATTTGGGGGGGGTGTAGGTAAGCGTCAGCGTGTAGGGTTCGGGGTTTCGATTTGTTCTACAACAGGTTTCTTTTGCCGGGGTCTCCGTGCAACTCGCCTATGAGTATAAAACTTGATATAGCCACCTGAACCTACCAATAATTTGTTTTTTGTTCTAGTTTTGTAACAATCGTACGTGTTCGTAAATGCCGGTTGGCCCAACATGCGGAGGTTTCAACATGGTGAGGTCTCATCCCCGAAAACATTATTTGCATCATGTAAACAACACAGCAGTAGCACCAGCCCTCACTAAACCCTGGACCCTGCACCGACGATGCCACGTCTGAAGCCAATGACGAATCGGGCCGCACAACGAAAAGACGCGCCCTAAACCCTCCCCCCCTCCATGAACGGTGACCGTAAGACAGCCCGATGCATATTCAAAAGGATCCGCACAGAGGCACTACTTGGGTTCAGGGTTCGCCTAAGTTCCTTTTTGGGGGTTGCCTTTCAGAATCCTACATGTACAGGTTGCTGGAACCCAAGAAAGGAATTGAACTACAATGGAGACTGTAGGATGGACACCCTAAACCCCTAAAACCCCTAAACCCTAAACCCCTAAACCGCTAAGCCTCATAGAGTGTAGCAGGCCATCGGATTGCTCCTTCGTCGGCACCAGATGCTTCCCGATGTCGTGGCCAGCGACCTGGCGACTCGGCAACATTCGGGGCTTCGGGGTCTTTTGGGGGCCTAAACCCTCTCAGTCCCAGGCGATACTCTGAGCCGAGCCTAAGCAAAATTAATGTAGAAGCCTAAATAAGTGCCCATATGACTGTTAGGGCTCCAAATCTTCCTAGTACTATAAAGGACTGCAAAACCCTAGTCTAATTATTAAGGCCCCTACATTAACTAAACATTGATCCGCAAGCTTGGAGGGCCCAATCGTACCGAAGGGTAGCAAGGGCTGCAAGGCGTTTAGGGCAAACGTTGACTTTAAGGCTTTGGTGCTTTAGGGTTTAAGCTCTGGGGTTTGGGTAGAAAGCTCCTGGGTTTATATAGGGTTCTAGGTTTAGGGCTCAGGGTTTAGGGCTTAAAGTTTAGAGTTTGAGGCTTGTGGTCCACGTTTTCCAAAGGTTTGTAAACAGAGCGTCAGGGGGACACCAGGCGGAACGACTCCCAAATACCCCCAAAATCCTTACTGACATCCAAAAATTGGGCTTCAAATCCAACCCCAGCCCAAAAACCCTATACCCTAGAAACACTAACCCAAAAGCCCGAACCCAAACCCCCAAAATCCCAAACCCTAGCCCAAAAACCCCAGACCCCAGTCCCCAAGCCCGAAAAAAGTATTTGAGGCCGGCCATGGCTCCCAGATCGACTTGAAGCGCGTGGTGGAGTGCATGGTCATCGCTGGGGCACCTCGGATCTCAGACGCGGATTTAAAAATAGAAGAGGGTTCCTTTGAAAGGGCTACTATAAAGGGTACTATAAGGATTTCATAAAGGGTTCCTTTAAAAGGGTTACTATAAAGGGTACTATAACGACTTTAATATAGGGGCCTTAATAATTAATATAGGGTTTTGGGGCATATTCTTCTATAAATATAACAAGGAACTATCACGGAATCAGGCGAGTGCCCACAGAGCGCAATACCCCTCGAAGCAGGAAGATACCACCCAAAACTGCTTAGGGCTGGGCTTGAAGCGTTAGGGCCCCCCTACACCCTAAACCCCCTAGGCCCCTTAGTTGGGTGAGGCTTAAGGCTGCAGAGTCAAGGATTTTGGATTTCCAGCCTCGGGGCTCAGAAATTGAGCTGTAGCCGACCCCCAGACTGTCAGCCACAACTTCTGACCCCCCGGGACCGAAGCAACCTTAAATTCAAGTAGTAGGGTCAAACTGAAGCCTTAAGTTCTTATCCCCGAAGTAGACAAGCCGTTACAGTAGCCCTTATAGACCCCTTTCAAAAGGAGCCCGCCCTAGGACCCTAAACCCTGAACCCTAAACCCTAAACCCTAAACCTTAAACCCTAAACCCTAAACTACATTCTAATTCTTACGGCCCTAGCCTTTGGAACTCTTAGACCTCTGACAGGTCGAGGAGGAGATAGCGAAGCCGACGGCTGCTGGGCTGCAGTTCTCCTGGGGCGTGGGGGCTCTTTGGTGGACTCTACATGGGAAAAGTAGGGGGGCTCTTTGTTGGGCTCTACATAAGCCCGAGGGTTTAGGGTTTAGGGTTTAGGGATACATGGGATTTTCCGAAAATTAGGGGTTCCTTATTTTGGGGTCCTTACAACAAGGATCCTATTATTTAGGGTACTATGTTAGGGTCCCCAATTTTCGGAAACCCCCACATAAGCCCGGGGCTGGACCAGAACTGCTGGAACCACCCTAGAGCCAGAAGCCTCAACCCTCATCTTCCTTGAACAGTTTAGGGTTGAGGGTTCCCAAATCCCCCGGATGCCCCATGCAAGTCGAAAGCCGTGACTGAGGAACTTATGCATTCGAAGCTCTCGAACGAGAGCTCTTGATGTTCAGTTCTCTCAGCCCTAAACCCTAAACCCAGTTCTCTCAACATTCTAGAAGTCTTCTTCTTAGGGATGTTGCGGCTCAGGCCCCTCGAGGCATCAACCCTACGAACTGGACCGCATCCTCTTAACCTCAAAGCTCCCCCTTGAATTAATCAGTATTACTCATTCAACCAATCAAACAAAACATACAAGGCTATAGGCAAAGCATATCCAAACTTGATTACGCCATTCCCAACATCCTACGTAAAAGAGATTACATCTCGTTACGTTCGTAGCTCAGGCACAAGTGGTCGCATACTGTACGAAAGCCATCTGGAGCGCGTCCCTTGGAGCCTGACATGGGCTTTCAGGGTTTCGGAGGGTTCAGGGTCTCGGGTTTCCAGGCACCCAGTATGTCGGATCAAAGAATTTGGGGCTTAAGGCTTTAGGGGTTTAGGCTTTCGTCGTATTTTGAGCCTGGGGGGGTTGAGATTTCTGGTAAGGGTACTTCGCGCATTGTCGCTTGTTTGTGTTTACTGGGGGAGGGGATTGCAGTCCGCTCCAAATTTCCTAACGCTAAAGTTTCCGAAAGCTGAAAGGGGGGTCCCTATGGGGGTAAGGTAGAAGTAAAGGTCCTGTGTTCTGTAGGGCCCTGAGCACTCAGTCTGCCTCCCTTAGCTTCGATGAGCGATGTCTTCTGAGAGCTTCTTTAGTCCTTAGGGCTTGGGATTTGGGGCTTAGGGCATCTAGTGTTCAGGCCTGAGGGTTCAGGGCTGTGGGTATCCTTGTGAGTTGAGGCTGTTGGGGCATCCGGCGGCGTGCCGGCTAGCGTGACCTGGCGACGAAGTAAGAAGAGGGAGGCTGGCTCTACGTCTATACTTTGGCCTGCTAAACCCTACTTCTTGAAGGGTCCTGCGACCCCTAAGCGTTAGAGGTAAACCCCAAACCCCTAAACCCTAGACCCTAAACCCGTTATGAAAGGCTGAGACACGGCTGCGCGGGACAGCAGTCGATTGGTGTCCAAGGGTTCCGGTCCGGGTACAGCACCAGGTTTGGTCATTAGGGTTTCAAGATTAGGGTTTAGGGTGTTGGTCATTAGGGTTTAGGGTTTAGGTCCTTCTAGGATTTAGGGATGTGGGGTCATAGCCTCAACAGTAGGTAGACGTGGGGAGTGGGTCCTGCCTTTAGCAAGAAGCTCCTATGCTCGAAGATAGTTCCAACACGATTCCTGTCGCCGCATGATTCTACTTACCGTATACCGTATTATATATATATATATATGGTGTGTGTATATATATATATGGTATGTGTGTATATATATATATACCACGAAGCCCTATTCTCCTTGTGATCCTTGAGGCTACTTAGGGGTTGAGCAGGGCTTAGGGGGTTTTTTCAGCTTGAACGTCGGCTTGAGCGACGTTTAATTAGGATTGTTTGTTGTACGTGGATTAGTGTGATGAGCAGTCAGGAGTTTTTGAGTCGTGCTTCGGTGCTCCGGGATGTTTACGGCCTCAGTTTTCGGATTTAAGGTGTAGGATTATAAAATTTTAGGGTCTGCGCATCGGGGCACCGCAGCAACCGCCACGAGACCAGGGCTCGAAACCCACCGAAGCCCACATCCCTCCTGTCACACGGGCACGAGTCCCGTGTGTCCTACGTTAACCGAACTGATCTTCATAGTGCCGAGGCGTAGTTTGCTTCTCATGCTGACAGAGGCCTCCTTATCCTTCGAATCGAAGAAGCAGGCGGGGCCACTGACGGACGAACTCTATGCCCAAGGCTTCTCAGACGTGACCGTCCCCATCGGCCCTGGCGTCATCCTGGCGATTGTCATCCTGCTCCTGTTCCTTGCAGTGCACGAAGGCTTTGTCGCGTTTGGGGCAAAGCCGCTTCTTGCAAACCACGAGAAGCCCAACAGCATACCGTTGCAATGCACCTTTGCGGCAAATTGGCTTCTCATGATGTTCAGCCTTTCAATGCTTGTGCCGGACTCTCTGGATTACGCACTGGCCATGGGACACTCCGCCACTGCCAGCGGAGCTTTCCTCAGTGTGCCCTTTGTGGTTGCAATGCTTGGCACGATTTTGGGGAGACCTCTCACAAGTGAAGTGAATTGGGATCAGCGCTTTGCTCGATCTTTCTGTGTGGTCTGCCAGGTCGTAACAGTTGCTGGGAGCCTAACCGTGGCATTCTTGATGCAGGCAGCCTCCCACTGGAGCGATGCGTCGAAGCGCACTTCCTTCTGGTTCTTCCTCTTTGTAAGCGGTGCGAGCCAGTTCTTCAACGCTTTTCCGGCCGTGGCCTGGGCCACCATGTGGAATGTCGTCACACCCAACAGCCAGAAGACGATCTGGAGCATGATCACCGTCGCCTGTCGCCACTGTGGCATGGTCTTTGGCCCCGTGGCTTTTGCAGGCCTCAGCTTCTCGGTAAGGAGGGGGCAAGACATCTCTCCAATCAGCATGATGGGCTGGTCCTACGTCGGTCTCGCGTCCTTTCAAGCTCTGGCGCCTAGGACGCAAGTTGGGCCTTGGCCTGGGCCCTCAAGGGTTTCTGCTTTAGGGTTTCACTTCATTGTCCCTTTTAAATAGTCTCTTTCAGGCACAAACCATGGCAGAAATCTTGCTCTATACGCCGTACTTTTGAGCCCAGGCACTGATCTCCACGTGCCTTTGCTTGCCGACGGTGGTGTCTCCTCCGATGGAAGATCAGAAAGCTGCGACGGAGGATGAACCGATGGAGCTGTGCCCGGAGGAGCAGCGGCACCAAAAACTTCTTTTCGAGGTTCTTTAGGTTTCAGGCCCGGTAGATCCTCAAGAAGCGTTGCTCTAGAATCATACTAACCGGCGCATTCTAGATGGTAGCCTTGCAAGGCCCCTTTGCCCTAATGCCCCTTTTGTCTTCGGGAAAAGTGCTGGCAGGAGCTGGCACCAGAGTCGCGACAGGAGATGGTGAGGAACATCATCATGTACTGCTATGAGCGGATTTTCACCGTCGCCGCCGTCGAGGTCTCCACAATGATGCTCTTGGAAGTGCAATTTGGGTGGTCGAGAGAAGCCTGCGGAGCTTCCTTCGTGTCGATCGGCGTGACCACGGTGGCCACCACCATCATCTCCACCATTCTGGTGAGCAAGAAGTGGGTCAGAGAGTCCTGGCTCTTCCTGGGATCCACCTTAATCGCCCTCTCCAGCGTCTTCCTGCTCTTTGACTGGAGGCTCTTCAATGCTAAACCCTAAACCCTAAACCTTAAACCCTAAACCCTAAACCCTAAACCCTAAACCCCAAACCCCTAAACCCTGGAGGCTCTTCAATGGGGCCTTCGGGGGCTCCGCCCTTCTCTTCGCCGACTCCTTGGTCTACGCCTTCTCCGGCGTCTCCAACGGCATCGCACAGGGCTGGGCTTCCCGGGCCGCCATGAAGGGCACCAAGTACGACATCCAGACCTACCGGGTGCAGAATCTCACCCCCGTATTAAATTTTTTTTTGCCTCATACAAGTCTTTTCAACAGCTTTCTGCATATATGTCATAAAAAGATCGATCCTTCACAACTCCAAGTATGGTAAAGCAGCTAGTTACACTTTCTTTTCGTTCGAGCAGGCACCTCGATAGTCTCAAGAGTCTGAGGAACGTGACTGCGGTGCAGGTCAGCCGGTTCCTGGTCCCCATCCTCACCCGTTTCATCGTGGATTTCGGAGGCCCGTACTTCTCTGCCGATTCCAAACCTGAGACCCTATAGAAGCCCTTGTAAAAGCCCTAAAGCCTGGACCCTTCTGAACCCGAAGCCCTTACAACACCTAACCCTAAGCTTCGATGATTCGGAGGCCGGAATGTCTACGCCCTGGTTCAGCTGCTCATGTGCGCCATGGGCACCTCCACCGTCTGGCGCACCGTGAGCCTGGTCTGGCGGGGCCACAAGGCCACTGCCAAGAGTTCAGGCTGCAATCCTGTGTGATATAGGGCTTCTTCCTTCAAAATGCATTTACTAGAACAATACACTCTTCATGTAAACTTGGGTTCCTTCCTACAGATACACGCAAACTCCACCCCAACAGCCTATTCGAATGATGAAGGAAGGGCCCAGGATTAGAATGCCCGGCAGCGGAAGGGAGCACAGCAGCTCCAGACTGAGAGGTGGCCGGGAAGTGCCAACCAGTCTGCCCCAAGCCCTCGTGGAGGGACGGAAAAGGGAGGCCTTGCGACTGCTGCTAATCAGTAGCCTCCGTTGATCAGTCCAACCCCTGCAGACATCCATGCTACATTCCCACTGCTTCTGTTTCACATAGCAGAGCTGCTGCTTTGTAGTTGTTTGCGTAGATTCTGCACCCGATCCTTTAACAACAACTAGCAGCAACAACTATAGGAACTCCAATGTGCCTTTCTCGGCGCAGTAGACTAGTAGGCTCGGGGGTTTGACTTCGGGGTTAGGGTTTGGCTAGAGTCCTGATTGGAATTACCGCCCCACATGGAGGAAAAGCCCCTTAAGCCCAGTATCTCAGTATGATCTCCTGACTCAAGGCTCCAGCACAGCATCGGCGCCTTTGTGATCGCCTACAAGCTTTCTCTGCTGGAATCCTTCAAGAGTTTCCTCGTGGTGCCTTGTTGGTGATTACAGCGTGCATGCATATATATATATATATATACATATATATATATATATGTATGTATATATATATATATATACATATATATATATACACACGTTGCTTTGTTTCTTTCTTTACGTGTTTACTTGTGTTTGTTCATTTATGTTTGTGATTGTGTATTTTGCTTACTTATATATGTATGCATGCATGCATGTATGTATGTATGCTGTACGTATGTATATATGTATGTATGCATGGATGTATGTATGTATGCATGTATTTGTGTGTATGTATGCATGGATGTATGTATGTATGCATGCATGTACGTATGTATGGATGCATTAGGTATGTATGTACCAGTTTATGTAATTGTCAGTTGATGTCTTTATTCATATATATATATATATATTTATTTATTTATTTATTTATACATACAGATGGTATGTGGCTTTGGGTTTAGGATTTGGGCTTAGGTGTGCGTGTTTATACCACACCTTGTCTAGACCCATTCCATCAGCTCGTGTGACTCAATTCCTCATTCCTGGTTTCCTTGCCCCCATAATTTTTCATATGCGCATAATTATGCTACAGAAAACTATACTGATGTACTGCCATGTACATGAATCAATAGACGAATAGGCGATGGGTTTTTAATATATGTGGCCTTCGGCCACCAGTCCTCAACCTGGAAGCCTGAAGACAAAACCCAGAGCGCTGTGAGGCATCCGTTGAGACGTCAGCTTCAGCCCCACTTCGAGCCGAATCTCCCCAGAACTTTGCACCGAAGTGAAATCTGAAGCCATGGCCTCAATGAAGCCCTAAAACCCTGAAGACTACAGCAGCAGCAGTAGCAGTAGCAGTAGCAGTAGTAGTTGTTGTTGTTGTTGTGGTAGTGGTAGTGGTAATGGTAGTAGAAGTAGGAGGAGGAGGAGTAGAAATTGGTAATAGTACTAGTACTAGTGAAAGGAATAGTTGGGTGGTAGTAGTAGTAGTAGTAGTAGTAGTAGTAGTAGTAGTAATAGTAGTAAGTAGTAGTAGTAGTAGTAGTAGTAGTAGTAGTAGTAGTAGTAGTAGTAGTAGTACTACTACTACTACTACTACT